TGTCCCCGGCCGCGGCCCTGGCCGTGGCCCTGGCCCGGGGCTCCGGGGGCAGCCCTGGCTGACCGTGGCATGGATTCTGAGGGCTGGTTTGCAGTGAGTGGTTGGAAGTGGCTGGTCAGATGGCACCACAGTGGCTCGTACCAGCTCTACCCAGGTGAGTTTTTGTCGCGCTGGGGCAGGTGAGGAGGGAGGCTGCTGGCTGGGAACCTGGGGTGGGCGTCTTTGAGGTGCTAGAGACGCTGGGGAGAGCCCGGCTTGTCAGCAAACGGGGAGGCCTTGTTTCAGCGCTGTGACTCGGGACCCCCGGCCCCCACGGGCACAGTGTTGCTGGGGGTGCTGGTCTCGGGGTCAGTGAGCGGGAACAGACTTTATAAACGGTCTCACCAGGGAGCTACTTCTTCAGACTCAGACCAGCCAATTGCCAGGAGCCTGGTGGTCCAGTGGTTAAGTCGCGTGGTTGCCTGGTGGCAGTGGTGCCCGGTCCCCTGGGGTGGCTGTTGGTGGGAACAGACTGGGTGGTCAGCTGAACCTGAAGGGATAAAGCCCGGGGTCGGGGGGCGCTGCAGTTGCTGGATGCCATCGGGTGGCCCTGCCTGGCCCACAGCCCTCTCTACCATGGGGACGGGGTCTCGCTGTGCCAGTGACCAGGCCGCTCTGGGTGAGGTGGGGGGGGGCCGGAACACGAGCGGAGGTTGACCCCTGTGGGCCCCGGGGGGACATGCAGGCATACCACCCCCGACTCAGGCTCCGGTCTGGGGGACATGCAGGCTGCATCCGGGCTCGGGCTTGGGCTTGCCCTGCGGGCTGCAGGAGGACCGTTCTGTGCGGCCACAGCACAGCTTGAGCCGGGCACCGAGTTCCCGTCGCCGTGTGGAGCCAACAGGAAGGGTGGCTCCCGGGGTGTCCTGCTGTGAAGGCCTTGCGCCTGGACTAATGGGACTTCACAGAGCCACCGACTGCCTCTGAGCGTCCTAGGTGGGAGACGGGGCCTTCCTGCAGATGCAGGGGTCTCAGAGCATGTGGGGGCGAAGGGTGGTAGTAGCAGCAGTGGGAAGGGCTGCCACTGGCAAAGGTGGGCGGGTCAGCACAGTGGAGGAGCTGGGTAAGGGTCTCAGGGTGCGTGGGGCTTCCAGTGCCAGGAGCCTTCTCCTAGTCCTTCCCGGAGCTGCCCAGGGGCTGGCAGCAGCGAGTCTGTAGTGTCCCCGGGTTGGGTCCACTGTAGGCAGGGCCATCCCCAGCTCAGACTCGTCCCTTGACGGGACCCTTGCCGGGCGGGAGGGGTAAGGGCTCTGGGGGTGCAGCTCCTTTGGGCTCCAGCATAGCTAGTTTGTTTGCCGAGGAGATGCCCTCCCTGAGCTGGTCCCTGAGCCAGGGCTCGACTCCCTGCTCATAGCCCTGCCCCCGTCCTTGACCCCTCTCTCTCCCGGCTCCATCACCTGCCCCCATGCCACCCCCGGAACACGGACGCGTGCCAGAGGCGGGGGGACCCGCCGTCGAGACCGGCAGGGTTACAGGCTGGGGGTGGTGGGAAGTGGACTTGTCTGTCCCCGGAAAACCCCGCCGCGTCGTGCCCCTTCTCCTCTGCCCACAACCACTCTCTCGGCCAGTGCCGAGACTGCGGGCCCGGTGTCTTCAGGCTGTGAGGGGCTGCTTGCTTGCCTTGGATCTCAAAGGAAAACCCATCAAGCCACTCAGTGACCCCCCCCAATGTGAGGCTTACCAAACCCTGCTCCCGCCCCTGCCCCGGCCGCTGCCCCTCGGCTTCAAAGCCTCACCTTTGCCCTGGAAACCACTGTCCTTTCTGTGTGTCTCCTTGTCACGCGAGTGGTGAGCGTGCCCGCTCTGTCCGCGCTGGGCTGTGTCTGACAGCTGGTGTGGCTGCTCCGGCTGCTGTATCTTCACACTGCCCCCCGCCTGCCTCGTGCAGGGGCTCCGACCCCAGCACCCCCGCCGGCAAAACAGCACCGCTGTTCTTAGGGTCGATCGCTTTGCTGTGTCCGTCTGTCCTGCTGAGGTTCCTCCTCCCTGCCACCGCCCCTCCCCTTACCAAGCCTGGCATCCCGCTCCAGGGACTGGTCTAGGGTCCCACCGGCGTATGGGGCCGGAGCGTGCCTGTGCCTGGCCCAGGTCGAGGGTCGCCCCTCATCCCCTGCGCAGGGGAGAGTTGCAGACTGACTAAGGACCAGCAGGGAGGCATCGATGCACCTGAGCCCTGGTGTTGAGGACTCATGGAAGTCCCACGCTGCCAGAATGAGCCACCTGTCCTGGAAGGAGCCCGGCCAGAGTGCCCCTGAGAGGTGGACACGTTGTCAGGAGCGATGGGTCTCTGGAGAAGGACCTCAGGCGTGCTACAGCAGAGGGGCTGCGGGAGGAAGCCCCTCAGTGAGACGGATGGACACAGCAGTGGCCGCAGGTGCAGGGGCGACGTGAGGCTGGGGGCCGGGCCAGGCCGGGCGCTGTGCGTTTGTCCTGCTGCACAGAAGTCTCAACGAGCCAGATGGCGGGAGTTGGCGTCTGTTGACCCCTCTCCTAAAGATGAGTCCAGACACGACTTATCCTTTCCTTCCCGGCATCCGCTCGTCTGCTCCCTGGTTCATTCCCTCGTCCGTCGCAGAGAGCCAGGCTTCCACGCCCTGTGCCTGGACCCTGCGAGCCCGGGGCAGGCTGGGCAGGCCGTGGGCAGCAGGGCTGGATGTGGCCGGCTTACTGCTGAGGGCCAGCTCCTCTCCCGTGTGTTTCATTGTGAAACGCTGCCATCTGCCCCACAGCCTGCATCTCACCCGCCCTCCCGACTGTTGTTGGCGCCCGGCCTGCTGCAGTGACAAGGTGCAGGGAGGGCGCACACGTGGGTTCTTCGGGAGAGACCCGTGGGACTGGGAGAGAGCTGGAGGCCCATCGGGCAAGCCGGGCTTCACAGTGCGCCCTGAGTTTGCGGCGATCCGCGCTGACTTACCTGCTAGGACGAGAGCGGGTCCCTGTCCATCCCGCACCACCCTCGCAGACCCCGAGCAGTGGTGGCCACCGCTCGGCAGCCCCCTCCCCGACAGCGGCTCTCCCTCCTGTACTGCTCCCTGCTTCACCGACCGAGATGTGGGCCGCGTCCCGCCGCCCTTGCCTCGGGCCGCCTTGAGCGGCTGGCTGGACTTGTGAGACTGGGGGCCTGTTCTTGTGGTCGCTGGCAAAGCCGTCAACACTCTGCCGGTTGCGTCCCCCCAGGGCGTCAGTGTTTCTCGTCTGAGTTCGTTGTCCAGTGTTACGTGTGAGGGAGGGGACTGGAAGCCCCCTTAGTCCCCACCGTGACACCCCCACCCCCGCCTTCCAGCACTTTTGAAAGGTCACGGCTGCAGATCGGCCACTTGACCTCTCCGGCTGCTGCTTGTGCGAGCAGGGCGCAGGCGGGTGGCGGAATGGTGACCATCCAGGCGGCTAATGGCATCGTCTGCAGTTCAGAACCACCAGGGGCTCCAAGGGTCACCCTCTGGGAAGCCCGCTGGGGCAGCTCTACCTGGTCCCGCAGGGTCGCCGGGAGTTTGGCTTGCTGTTGCGCCTCCGTGGCCACCAGTTCTGGGTCCACGTCCAGGGGGGACTGCAGCCAGTCGGCACCACGTTGTCCTTGGGCCCTGTGGTGGCTCAGCACCCCCGCCGGGTGGGCGACCCCCTGCCCATCTCAGACCACGCTGTCCAGTCTTCTGTCGGGAGGGCGGAGGCTAAGTGCACGTGCACTCAGTGTTCTGGGGCGTCTGGAACCCCCACTCACCCTCACGTAAGCTGGGAACCTGCTTACACCTCTCCCGCCGCAGGCCGCCTGCCTCGGGGCAGGGCCTGGAGTTGTACGGGCAGAGGCCTGGTTCTGGCCTCCTCCGAGAGCCTTCCCTCGACCCATGTTTCAACCATCACCCCCACCCACCCCGTTCTTGTCAGAGTCTCCCTGACGCACCTCCTCGGGGCCCTCTGGCTGCGTGGGTGGTTTCCAGGGGCACCCGCTGGAAGGGGCGCCTGGGGAACCGTGGGGGGCTGTGGCCACATGCTGCCCCCCTCCCCCCCAAGGAACCTAAGAGCAGGCTCCCCGGCTCCCCGCACCCCTGCGCTTGGCTGTCTTCTGTGCCCCTGCACAGGGGGCTTCCTGGCTCCGGCCTGAGAGCAGAAGGGGGCAGGGTGGGGGCTAAGAGCTGGTGACAAAGGGAGTTGGGACCAGAGGCAGCAGGCTGCCTCGTGCTGTGACCCAAGTCCATACAGAGGGGGAGGGTAAGGGGACCCATGGTGTCCCACACCAACATACCCCAGGCAGCTGTGTGCTGGGGTTCTTGGGGTGGGCGGGGGTCTCTGCATGGACAGCTCGCCCGGGCAGGATGACACACTGCCCTCGACGAGGTGTCCAGAGAGCTGCCACAGTCCCGTGCTCAGCGCTGGGCCTCCCACTGTATCATGCGTGGTGTGTGCCACGTGTATGTGCGCACGCGTGTACCAGGGAGCGCCCGCTGTGTGAGGTGCGTGCGGGTGGGTCAGCGGGTGGGCATTTTGTGCCTGTGTGTGAGTATGTGCGTCTGCACGGGTGTGTGGTGTGCATGCAGAGGAGTCTGTGCGTGTGCGTGTGTGCACGTGAGTGCGTGTGTGCCTGCATGTGAGGGAGTGTGCCTGTTTACACGTGTGTGCATGTGTGAGCATATGTGTGTGCACGTGTGTGCGTGCATGTGTGAGGGTTTGTGTATGAGTGATCTCTGTGCGTGTCTGTGGAGGCGGGTCTGCCTGGGAGAGTGAGCATGTGGGTGTGAGTGTGCGTGGGTGGGTGAGCGAGTGGTGACACTCTGTTGGGGTGGGACCGTGTTTTATCACAGTGCTGTCCCAACCCCAGGCCAGCACTCGGGGGACTGTGGATGCTCAGGGCTTTGGGGTTCCCTAGAGAATCTCTGTTGGGGACCCTTCCCTGACCCCCTTGGATGGTGCTTGTTGGGTGAGGGTGTGGTGAGGGTCTGGCAGGGCCGGGACTGCAGAGGGCGTCTGTGTCCCCGACAGAGCTGGACGGCAGTGACCTCAAGGACTGTGTGAGCAACCACAGCCTCAGCAGTGATGCCAGTCTGCCTGGGGCGCAGAGCTGCCGCCACCGGAGGGCCAGGCGTGTGGCCAGCTGGGCCGTGTCCTTCGAGCGTCTGCTGCAGGACCCTGTCGGCGTGAAGTACTTCTCTGTGAGTACCGGCCCGTGTGCTACCCGATGCCCGCCCGCACTGCAGGGCCCGTTGGCATTGAGCTCGAGGGCTGCAGTGTCTCTCCGAGAGCGCTGTCTCTGCGAGGGCTGGAGTGTCTCTCTGGGAGCCTCTCTGTGAGGAGTCTCTGCGGGTAGAGGAGCTGCTCGGCCCAATGTCCGAGGCCCCCGTACCTGGTACAGGGGTCTCCCTGTGTCCGCTCAGGGCCCCCCGGCCAGGACTCCAGGACCCCAGCCAGGCATCGAGGGAGCTCACGCACGGAGCTCTCCCAGGATGGTGTCTGCTCAAAGCCAGACTCGGAGTGAGACCCACAAGGCCGGTGGTTCAAAACCCGCAGCCAGTGCGCAGGGGAGGATGAGGCTGTCTGTGCCCTCTCTGGGCAGCACCGAGCCAGCCCGGGATGAGAGGGCAGGGGTTGGTGTGGTCCTCAGGGTGCCCTCCTGGTGACATGGGCATTCACGGACACGTATCCCAAGAGACCCCCCTCACCGGTGACTGACAGCGGCTGCCCCACGGGCTTCTCCGCAGGACTTCCTGAGGAAGGAGTTCAGCGAGGAGAACATCCTCTTCTGGCAGGCCTGCGAGTACTTCCACCACGTGCCCGCCCACGACCAGCGCGAGGTACGCCTCCCGACTCGCTGAATGCCACCCCTGCAGCCCCGTCTCCAGACCGACCTGCCATTTAACTTTGCCCAAACATAGTCTGTGTGAGCGTCTTTCACACCAAATGCCGCGGCAGCTGCCGGGAGAGCCAGCCGTTTTAAGGGCATTGACGACCATTCTGACAGTTGGGGAGGGGTGGCCGGGAATGCTCCCCAGAGCACCTCCCAGGGGGCTCAGGCACCAGGCACATGGGGAGGGCCGTGGGGCGACTCACGCCCCCCTGCGCCCCCCCCCCCTGCCCCCGTCCACCAGCCTCAGAGCACCAGCTGCCGTTTCCCTTCCTCCAAGGAACCCCCCTTCCTGCAGACGGCGGGGCTCGGGGGCAGCCGCACGCCCCTCACCCTGGCCCGCTCTCAGCTCTCCTATAGGGCCCGGGAGATTTTCAGGAAGTTCTTGTGCAGCAAGGCCACCACCCCCGTCAACATCGACAGCCAGGCGCAACTGGCGGACGACATCCTCAACGCCCCGCACCCCAACATGTTCAAGGAGCAGCAGCTCCAGGTACCGTGGGCCTGCCCGGGCGGGGGACGCGGGGGCGCGGGCACTGCCCAGGGCTGGTCCCTCATACCAGGCTGTGTGCGAGTGCTGTAGCATCGCCGAGATGAAGAGGCACGCACAGTCACGCGTGCAGAGCAGAGCTGGAGCCGGGCGCCCGCCCCACTGGTCCCTGGGCCGCACCCCCGGAGCGGTTGGGGAGGTGGGAGGACATGCTTGCAGTGGACAGGGCTCCTGCGAGGGGCTGGGGGTTGGTCAGGGAGAGGGCTGGAGGCCGCCAGCCCCAGCTCTCCTCCACTCTGACCCACAGATCTTCAACCTGATGAAGTTCGACAGCTACACGCGCTTCCTCAAGTCCCCGCTGTACCAGGAGTGCATGCTGGCTGAGGTGGAGGGCCGAGCGCTGCCCGACGCCCAGCAGGTGCCCGGCAGCCCGGCCTCCAAGCACAGCACCGGCTCGGACCACTCCAACGTCTCCACGCCCAAGAAGGTGCCTGCTGGCCCACAGCCTACCCGAGTGAGCGCACAGTGGGTCCCTGGGGGTGGGGGGCGCCTTCAGACCCCCACCTTCCAAGGGCCTTTATGCGGGGACTCTGAGCCAGGGAGCGGGGGTGGGCTCCCCTAGGAGTTTCCAGGAAGGGGGTCTGCGCTCGGGAAGGAATAGGGTGTACGCCTGAAGCCCCCCATTTTAGAGAGCTATGACCCCCAGTGAAAGACCCCAGGACAGGGGGTCAGAGGGCGGCCAGAGGGAGGGGTCACCAGTGTCCCATGGCAGCAGCCCTGCGGTGGGACCCTAGATGACCATGCCGGCATGCCGGGGCGCCCACCCGCTGACAGAGCTGCTGTGGCCGGGCAGCCCAGTGGGAAGTCCAGGTCTGGCCGGTCCCTGAGCGAGGAGCCCCCGGGTGACGAGGACGGCGAGAGGAGGCGCAAGGGGCCCTTCTTCTCCTGGTCCCGGAGCCGCGGCACTGGGCGCTCGCAGAAGAAGAAGGAGCCGGGCGACCATGCCCATGGTGGGTGTATGGGGGCAAGGCCGAGGATCCTGGGGGAGGGCTGCCCCTGAGGCCCGGGGAGGAGCTGGGAGCTCCCAGGACCCGGGGACTGGGTGCCAGTCACCTGCACCTTGCCTGCTTGGGCAGAACTGCATGCCAGTGATCTCAAACCTGGGAGATACTTAAGGGGCTCCCTGGGGACCCAGCCTGAGCGTGGGGGGCTGGGTGGGCATCTGTCTGTCTTGCCTCTGGAAGGTGGGCTGGTGATTCTGAAGGTCCGGGGCTTGGAAGCTGCTGCCCCAACCTGCCCTCCACCTGCTCCCTGCCCCCCAACCCCCACCCCGCCTGCAGGCAGCATCTGCTGCAGTCCCTGGGCCCAGAGGCCCCAGAGGCCCCAGGTGGAGACCCGGAGGTCACTGTGGGTGAGCAGCAGTGGGCAGGCCACTGGGCTTCTGGTCCCTGCTGGCCTCACCATGTAGGGACTTCTCGGTGAGGGGGGGGGAGCATCGGATGACAGGGCGCCCCCCTGCCTCCTCCTCCCCTGCCAGAGCCTCTCCACGCCAACGGGGGCCTGTGCCGCAGGGAGTCCCAGGGCTCCGCCTCCTCTGCCGGGAGCCTGGACCTGGTAAGCTGGGGGGGGGGGGTGCTCTCCTCTGTGTAGACGTGTGTCCATCCATGGGCAGCCAGGCCACCAGTGCTACTCTGTGTGCATGCGCGCACCTACGTGCACCTCTGCCTGCAGTCCTGGGCGGGGCTCAGGCCCTGGCGGCCCCCAGAGGTGTTGTGGCCGATGTGGTAGACTGGGACTGAGGCCTGACTTCGTCGGATGCACCCTCACTGGTGCCTGGAGGTGTCGGGGAGATGGGTGACAAAGAAGCCCCTGGGGGGGCCGGAGGGTGGGAGCAGTGCGGAGGCCAGCCTGCCATGCCCTGCAGCCCCTGTGCTCTGGGTGGGTCAGCCTGGCCTGGACACGGTGCCTGCCAGCTGCCGGGCAGGCTGCGAGGGAGCCGAGAGCCCAGGGTCCAGGTGGGCTGCGCAGGTGTGCGTCTGAATTTGCTGGAACTTGTGTGGGCTTTGTTCAGTCTGCGGTTCCTGGGGCCCCGTCACACGGGGGCTGTGACTTGGGGTGCCTCTGAGCCGTTCCCTTGGGGCGGAGGCAGCGTGGTGGGTGTGGGCGACATGGACACACGGGATGCTGCAGCTGCCCTTCCCCACGCCCGGCAAGCTGGGTCCTGACAGCGCTGTCTCCCACCCGCCAGGCGGAGGCCTGCAGGGCCCCGGTGGCCGAGCAAGAGCGGGGAAGACACTGCCGCGTCCACCTCCCTGACGGCACGGCCTGCCTGGTGCCCGTCAGGGCTGGCACCTCCATCAAGGAGGCCCTGGCGGGGCTCTGCGAGCGGCACGGCGTCAACGGGACTGCTATGGACCTCTTCCTGGTCGGCGGGGACAAGGTGCGTGCCGCGAGCCCCTCCCCCGGCCGTCCCCCGAGCACCCGCCCCGCTTAGCCCTGCCTCCTGCCAGCCTGCCTGTCCCCCGCGGGGCCTTGCTCAGCCCCACCCCTGAGGGGGTCCCAGCGCCGGCAGGCACCAGCGGGCAGCAGCCTGCTGGGGCTGAGCAGAGGTGACCTTGGTGGGTGCAGCCTGGCCCACACGCATGCACCCACCGACCGACGGCGCCGTGTCCCCGCAGCCTCTGGTCCTGCAGCAGGACAGCAGCATCCTGGAGTCCAGGGACCTGCGGCTGGAGAGGCGCACTCTCTTCCGGTAGGAGGGGCCGTGGGCTGGGCCCTGCCTCACCCCACTCCGCTCAGAACTGTCTGAGATGGTGGCCCAGGGTGCCCAGGAACCCGACATGTCAGTAAAGGGGGCCCCAGTGGAGCAGCCCCCACCCTACCCCAGGCCAGGGAGGGGAGGGCGGGGCCCTCATGCTGGGCTCCCCCCTCAGTCAGCCTTGTCACCTTTAGA